GGAAAGAGAAGAGAGACATTCCAGCATGCTAAATAATCACTTTGGAGTTTCCCTGTAGAAGCCTTACAGACTAGAAGTTGTTTGGGTTTTAGGGGGGGGGGGCTCTCAAGACTGTCAAGGTTACCTGTGTGTAAAGCTTTGCTATGAACAACAACCTTAAGGGTTTACATTTTTTGTTAATTGTTTTATCTACACTTGAGCTTTCCTACTCACAGATGATAACGTCTAACCTCTGTGTAGATACTAAGCAACATCAAGGTAAAAGTTATCCAGCAAGGTTACTTAATTTTGCTTTATTGATTCATATTAACCCCTCCCACATGAACAAAGTCTGAAGAGCCAATATTAAAAAATAATGAAATAAATATTAACTTACAGCAAAACATGCAATCACATCATTTTCATCAAACTTCTCACCGAAGTCTTCAGTTTCACAATTGCATGTCTTTATTCCTTTTAGGGAATATCCATAAGAGAATTCTTCTTCACCTGAGAGAAAAAAAGGATAGTTTAAAGAAGCCTGCAACTAGCTACAACCTTTGGGTTCACCGCATATTTACTTTTTCAGAACACTGACAAGTACTATTAACGTGTTGTATTAAAATTCAAGCTTAGCTGTACCTAATTTTAGATCTCCTACAGAACAGATGATGCTGCAGGAATTGCAGCTAGACATCAAAAATTAGCAGAAACCAGTAATGGTATAAAGCAAGCTGGATTTTTTTTTTTTCAGTATGCTGGTGTTTTAACAGGTTGACTGTTTTACTATATTTTTGAAGTTCTTACACTACAATTCATTTCAAACTAAGTTATGACTCCCACTTTACCTTAGGGAGTGATCACATCCTACTGCTAGATCTAGTTTCAGTAAAAGTTAACAGCTAGAATAATTTCTTTAAGTTGCTGATCACCAACAGTTACTCAAAGTTCGAATTTGTATAATACTACAAATCTCTCCCTCCCCCCGCTCAAGAAAGCATAAACAGAGGGTAAAGAAAGCAGATACAAGATCTAAAACCTATTAAAAATATTTGAGAGCCAACACAAATGAGTGCATTGGGCAAAAAGATAGGAATTCTCAAATATTCTCTGCAATGGTGGTGCCTCACTAGCAGTGAGGCAAAGCAATTTAAGTATTTACACTTGTGAGAAGTAGTAATTTTCCTTTGTTGGAATGTATTCTCATAGCCTGCTTGCTTCCAAAAGTAAAGTAAAAATACTGATTTTTACTACTAATTCAACAAGTTTCTCTCTCATTTCAAGTCAGTTATGCCATTCCTACTGATGTCAGAGTAGATACAGAACACACTGTTATAAGTTACGTTACTCAGACATTTCAATGCTTTACTATTAGGAGATTACATAACTGATAACAATCAAGACAGATAACTTTTACTCCTCTAATATTTAAGAGCCAACTTGTTTGGCCCCAATTTATTAAAGTCCATAGAAACTTGCCCAAGTCCAGAGAAACACTCGATGAAGTGCCTCTTCCTTATTATATCGAAGAGTTATCCCCAACAATAGGAGCTACAAAAGTCAAGTGGTCATCAAAAATAAGGTTATAGATTATTTAAACCATTTTGCAACAAGCTAAATATTTAGTTATCTTACCAAGCAACATTCCACTTGTATTGAGTGACCAGCCAACCCGCACTTCATGTATATCAATGTCTTTTGTATACAAATGTTTAACAGGAATCTTCTCTGTAATCTGTTTTTAAATTTAAAAAAAAAAAGTGATATATAATATCAAATCCAAGCAAAATCAGCTCATGATATAAGCGGTTGGAGCCTACAGTGAGCACTGGACCAAAAGTACTAAGTATGAATAATCTAATAACACCTTCCAGAAAAGACTAGGTTATTCAGTTATGAAAGTTAACTCTTGGAAGCTAAGAGTCTTCATCTTCTGGGTCAGTGACAAAAAGGTGCAATGTTCTTTCACATCTCTTTCTAGCCAATAAATGCAACTTAAAACACAGTATTAGATGAAGAAAAATAAGTCAGTAGATCTAGTGATGAAGGAATAACCTGAAGCTCCTCTTTAGAAGCATTACACTGAAAAGCTCCTAGTGAACTGGAGCTCTCAGGCAAGCACCGCTTTCACTAAGTATAGGCAAACTAAGTTTTATCCATAGATGCAAAAAGTGACCATCTTCACAGCTGTAGACAACCAAGTTTCATACATTTACAATAGCTACAACATAGCAAAATGCTGATCAAAGTGAAAATTGAACAACATCCTATCAGCTGTCAACTATTCAAAAATTTTAGGAGTAAGACTGACTTAATCACAAGTCAATTTCACTTTGCTCCAGTTACAAGCAACAAAAACAGCAGCTAGCAAAGTCTGAGAAAAATGGATGGATAGGTATTTGCTTGCCAGGGGCCTTGAGAAAGGAGAACAAATGAACCATATATGGAATGTGCAAAGAAGTTCAGTTTTGGCTCTTGTCTGATTTAGGCCAGGGACAGAAGTGACATACAAACTTGGATCAGTTTATACCAGATTATAACAGCAGAAGTTCAATGCGCACAAGTCTGATCGTACATCCATCCAGGCTTATCTTAAACTGGTTTTGGTCATTTTGAAAATGGTTCAACTGATTTAGGTTAAACCGGCTTATCGAACTTCTGTCCTAGATCCTCTCCAGATTCAAGTTAACTCACAGTCCTCCAGCATCCCAGGATGCTTTGCACCTCCCCCCACTCTCCAAGCCCTCCCCCCAGGGTGGGTGGGTTAGCCTGGGCCCATGCTG